TCGACCGGCCAAGTTCAACTCGATCGAGCTGAGAAGTCAAAGTCAAACCCGAAAAATGTTGCTTCCCCTTGACTTTCCTTTGACCCTAAACCTAAATCCTCTTGTATTTAAAGGCTAAAAGCCACGAAAAAACAACCAACTTTAGATTACTTTTGTTTTAGCTTTCTTTTAATTATTGTCTTTACTTTTTAGAACTCTTAATCCAATCTTTGTGTTCTTGAAGCTCTTGCTTCTTGAATCCTTAGATCTGGATTATCTGTTTTGTTTGCCCTTTGCTATTTCAATAAAAGTTGTTCATCTTTATCTCCTCTTTCATTTGATGTTTATTTCATTGCATTTGCTTGTGTTTACATTCATGTGTAGTGAGTAGTTACCCATTAGGGTTTGAGATGGGATAGATTAGGGGTTTCATATGCTTAATCCTTCTTGCTTATGGTCTTAATCTAGATTCTCTCTCTTTTGGATAAATCTTAAGGCTACATGACCACTACCCCTGGCTTGTATGTCATTAGGCGATTCTCCACATGGAAGTGATGGAAATCGCTGGAAAATATCCACTAAGAGCTCCAACAACCTTGCTCTCGAAATGGAGTTCATAGGGGTTGGATGGATTAGTTTGGGCAATGATCCTATGGCCTCCAAGGTTTGATTCTCACTGGCTAACCCCCTGTTTCTGAGATCATTCCTTGGTTGATAGCTTCCACCTTGGGAAAGGGTTAGCTAGGCATTGAGAAGCCCAATATCAAGAGAAACCTTGGTACAAGGAGTTTTAAGAGCAGGATCGATTAAGTGTAGCTTCCCCTGGTTGAAAAACCCTGTCTTGAACCCTAATTCTCACATTAGCTTGTTAAAGTCGCTGCCTTTATTGCTTTTTACTTCAACTCGACCCTAAACTCGATCGAGCTCGGTACTCTGTTCCACTCGACTCGAGTCCTTGGTCGAGCTACTTGCTTTACTGTTTTTGGTTCACTGTTTTTACTTAATGAATGTTAAAGGGATTTGCTGATTTGAATGCATTGTTTGAGTGACTGTGAAGTGGGATTGATGTTGATGCAGGAAGATAATTGGAAATATTCCAAATATTTATATTATTATTTTATCATTTAAATTAATTATTATTGTTTTATGGTTTTCTTATATATAGCCGTTTAGGCTTTTGTATTATGAAGTTGTTGATTATTAATAAAAAAGCTTAGGCTTTGAGAGAAGAGTATTCTCTGTCCTTGTTTTCGGTAGATCTATTGAGATCTCAACGAGTTCAAGAAGCAGTTCCCAAGCGAGAATTCTATTGAATTCCTTGTTTGAGCTGACATGTCCCGATTGATTCCTTTGAATCATAGGTTGAGCTGTGTTTATCGTAGCTTCCGCTACATCAGATGTTGATAAGCATGGTTAAAATCTTAATGAATATCTCTCACCTTGTTGCATTCTAGAATCTCTAAGTTGGACATTTAGCAAATCGCTTTTGAGGACATGTTTTTAAGTGTTGAATCAACTTGTTTTCAAACCTCATCTCTTTCTTGTTCTATTTTTTTTGCTTGAGGGCAAGCAAAGGTTAAGTTTGGGGGTCTTGATGTACTTGCATTTTACATAGTTTTAGTACATCTTTTATGCATCTTTTGCATAGTTTTAGCATCCATTAGCATCATATCTTGTTCCTTTTCTCTCTTATGCATTCATAGTAGTTTTAGGTTGCATTTGCATACATATGCATGTTTGGTCCTTGAAATAGGTCTTTTGGAGCATTTTGGAGCATATGGGACGTGAGGAGCAAGGAAGGACTTGGTGCATGGACGCAGCTCAACTGGATACGCAAAGGAAGAAGGAGGAAGCCATCTTGAAGACCAGCTCGACCACCTACTCGACCGGCCAAGTTCAACTCGATCGAGCTGAGAAGTCAAAGTCAAACCCGAAAAATGTTGCTTCCCCCTTGACTTTCCTTTGACCCTAAACCTAAATCCTCTTGTATTTAAAGGCTAAAAGCCACGAAAAAACCACCAAGCTTTAGATTAATTTTGTTTTAGCTTTCTTTTAATTTATTGTCTTTACTTTTTGCAAACCCTAGCCACTCTTTGTGTTCTTGAGCTCTTGCTCTTGAATCCTAGATCTTGGCTCTATCTTTCTGTATTTGCACTTGCTATTTCAATAAAAGTTGTTTATCTTCATCTCCTCTTTCATATGATGTCTTCTTCATTGCATTTGCTTGTGTTTACATTCATGTGTAGTGAGTAGTTACCCATTAGGGTTTGAGATGGAATAGATTAGGGGTTTCATATGCTTAATCCTTCTTGCTTATGGTCTTAATCTAGATTCTCTCTCTTTTGGATAAATCTTAAGGCTACATGACCACTACCTGGCTTGTAAGTCCTTAGGCGACTCCCCACACGAAAGTGATGGCATTCGCTGGAAAAGATCCACTAAGAGCTTCAATATCTCTTGCTCTAGACATAGAGGTCTAAGGGGTCGAGTAGGTGGTCGAGCTGGTCTTCAAGATGACTTCCTCCTTCTTCCTTTGCGTATCCAGTTGAGCTGCGTCCATGCACCAAGTCCTTCCTTGCTCCTCAAGTCCCATATGCTCCAAAATGCTCCAAAAGACCTATTTCAAAGGACCAAATATGCATATGTAAATCTAAAATACTATGAATGCACAAGAAGGAAAGGAACAAGATATGATGCTAATGGATGCTAAAACTATGCAAAAGATGCATAAAAGATGTCCTAAAACTATGTAAAATGCAAGTACATCAAGAGTCCAACAAGAGAAGATGATTGGGCACTTGTAACCTTTGTTGGAGAACAAAATCAAGACCCAAGAAAGTGTAAGAAGGCAATGGAGAAGGTGAACATCGAACCATGTGTGAAGATGGACACCCAAACCCTTGATCTTCTCAAGATAAGAGATGATGTCACATGGTATCATAAGGAAGCTTAGGCTTGAGCAAGCTCTTCAAGCTAGAGTGCAGTGAGTACTCACAACTCACCAAGGAGTTCCTCTCCACAGTAGCTCTTGCCTTTCCCAACCACAATGGAGACCAACCAGCTGGTGAAGGACTCCTACTCTTCAAGATAGGCGACCAATGGGCGCATCTCCATCTCAGCTCTATGCCAACTCTTTGGACTTCCCAATGAGACAGCACATGACTTCAAGGAGAACTCAAAGAGGAAACAAGCTGCCTTTGCTGATTGGACACACTTTGCCAATGAACCATTCTTGCCTTCAAGGTCAAAGGTGTCTAGAATCACTCATCCAGCCATTCGCTATGTGCACCGCCTCATCTCCACCACTTTCCAATGCAAACAAGAAGCCAACAAGGTCACAACTGATGAGTTCTACATCCTCACCACACCATTCATCAAGCATGAGTACAAGGCCAACCTTGGTTTTTACTTGCCAAGACATTCATCAATGTGAGGAAGCTAGCTCAAGACTTGGAAGGCAACAAGAAGCTTTGTGTTCGTTTTGGGAGGCTTATCACGGCCATAGTACTGCATGTGGGGATTGACATTCCCAACTATGAGCCACTACCCAAGCCAACCCCTTTGGATCTCCATGCTCTTCAGCACATCCACTTCCTAAACCGTTGGACTAAAGACCCAACTCGGTTTTGCTATGAGTTTCCAATTGGTCCAGCCAACACTTCCCTTGTCTTGCTGCCACATGAGGACATCCCAAGCCTACGCTCTGGTGTTGTCAGTTTCCAACTGATCGGCGGATCAGGTCCCTTTCCTATCCCTGATTCTGCAAGTGCACAGGTCAGAAGTAGTAAACGGGTATCGAACACGAGGACCAGATTGCACACTACAATCTATGATTGAGATCGAGCTAGGGCAAAAGTATGAGTTGGTTGAGTGCAGTAAAAGTAAAGCATGCAAGTAATAAGAAAGTGAGATTCAATAGGAGAGAAAGGGCTAAGCAATAGGATAGTCTTGAGATAAGCAATTCAAGAAGCATGAAATCAATCAATTAGGGTTACCGCACTTAGGTGCTAATCTAGAACTTGAAACACTATGGTATGATCATTCCACTGTCGAGGCTCCGACCCCTTTGTTAATCTACCTAGTCGCTAAACTTTTGGTATGTCCCTAGGTGATTAAATCAAGCATTAGTTCGATCAAGATCAATTGTTCACAACCTACAAGTAGATCAACTGTCGCAGTCTAAAAGAGATTGCCCACCAAATACTAGTTCAGGCGAATGATACAGCACTGTCGAGGCTCAAATCAACCTAAAGGCATATGCTAATTGGCCAGATTAACAACAAGCATTAAGTATAAGCAAAGATGGAGATTATAAGTAAAACCCTAATTGTGATCAATCATCAAGCATACATGAATGCTATCCTTTGACTTCCTATCACTTAACAAGTAAACTACTCAGACATAGAGAAGGAACACGAATTCATATTCATAAGAACAGAGATTCGAATCCTCTCTAGAAAGAGTAACAAGCAAGAACAAAGTAAAAGCAAGCAAAACTTTATTAAGATGTAAAATAGATTGTGGTCTCTCTCCTTCTTGAGTTACAAGGCTAAAAAGAAGTATTTATAATGCACTAAGTATGAAAGGCGGCTAAACCTAATCTAGCTAGGTCGGCGCCGGCTTGGGCTTGAATTGTGCGGATTGGGACGGTCGGCGTCGGACGGACGTCGGGTCGGGTCTTGGCCGAGTCGGAACGGTCGGGGCCGGATGTTTCATGGTCGGCCGGTGTGGTCGGCGGATAGATTTGGCCGATGGAAATTTCTCGGCCGGACGCGGGCGTTTCCCGGCTCGGACGGATGCATCGGCCGGTACGTGAGGGTTGCGCGGCCGCGAGGCGTTACTCCCGGCTCGCGCGGCTTTGGTCGTGCGCGGTTGTGGCGTGGCGTTGGCCGACCGCGGGCTTAAGTTTCCCGGGTCGTGTGTGTGATCGGCCGAGTGGTTGGAACTTTGGCCGAGACTTCAGTCGGACGGATACGGTTTTGGCCGAGCGCGGAACATTCGTTCCTCGGCCAGCCGGACTGCGCGTTGGACGCTGATTCTCGATATGGCCGTCTGGAGCAGTCTTCACTCTTTTGGCTATAACTCCTTTTCTACTCATCCAAATGAGGCCGTTCCAGTTGCGTTGGAAAGTTAACTCAATCAGAGCACGCAGGGAACTGGTCTTGATGAAATCCATTGAGTAGATCTTTTTCTAGCTCCATCCAAAGTTGATGCAGGGGCATTGAACTGGTTTAGAGTCCAAATCTCTGTTTTGCTCCATAATGCACCTTTTTACCTAAAATGACTCTTTGCACTATAAATCCATAAAAACTACCTTTTAACACAAGAATCCACTAGAAAACCATTAGAAAACCATAGTAAAATAGCATAAAAAGTAGGTAAAATAGAGGTATATCACCAACCCAAGGAGGAAGACTTCTACATCCCATCAAGTGAGAAACCATCACTCCCCATCCACACATATCGCACACTTCAGCGCACAGTCAAAGCTCAACGCCGCCACCAAGAACGCCATGTTCTCACACTGGCATGGCAGCGACCAAGCTCTAGACCGTGTGAGCAAAGCTGGAGAAGATCGTGGAGTGCCAATCTCGCTTCATCTCACGCCTAGTTCGTGTAGTTCGCCACATTGCACCGGAGAGACTCTTTCGCCCTTCTTCCACCGCTAGAGAGCCATATGAGCCTGACCTTGGTGAGTTCTCACTAGACTCAGAGCTTGGTTCAGAAGGCGATGACCCCATAGAAGAGGAAGAGAGTTCTTCTCACTGCCACACATAGTCATCTCAAGTGGTACTTAGTGCAATGGACACTTACAAATCTCCATTTTCTATCCCTATCTCATTTTAATGAATTTCTCTTTATTTTTCTTTTACTTTGAATATTACCTCTCACCTTAATGTGATTTGCTTTCACCGGGACGGTGCAAGTTAAGTCTGGGGGGAGTTTTATTGTGTTACTAATGCATTTTTCTTTCTTTTCTTATGTTTTATTTACTTTGTTTCATGTTTTTCAAAAAGTTTTATTGAGTCAAAAACCAGTCCGGAAGTTATGAACTTGCTTTGAGAATTGAGAGTGTTGTGCTAACAATCCATGACCCTAGAGCAGAATCAGCTAAAGGCACAAGCCTAACAGAAGCTCTTACAGTGGATCGACATGCTAGCTCAGCAAAATTTCTAAGGTAACCAAGCAATCTAGAGTTAACCTCACCCTTAATCAATCTTAATACTCTTGTCAAGGGGATTGGCATACATGTCGACAGTTCCTTGCTTGATTTTCAATAAGATTTGTCTAATCTTTAAAGAGTTCTCCTCTCTCTCCCATCCCAAATGGTAAGAAATATTTATGAGAAAAAGCTCAAAGAGCACAAGGAAAACAAGTAAGCATGAGGAATGCATATGTCTGTACCTTCATGTCTTATGGAATACCTTAGTCAAACAAGGAACAAGCTAAAGACTTATCCTGTGGTTGAAGAAGGGTCAATAGAAAAAATAAAATGATACCCTAGAAAAGTAGGGAGAAATTGACCTTTCAAAGTTCTGATGTGAGAAAGAGAGAGGAAAAGAACTCATTGCACTTCAAAGACAATCTTGGAGAAGGATCAAGTGGGTAAGAACAAGTTCAATTGATCGATGTTCCCTTGATAAAGAACTCACGCTTTAAATTTATGCAAGAGGTTAGCAATAGAGAGTTTGGATTGCTGGATGAGACTAGTTGGGTTGGTATTGTTCGCTAAACTTGCAGGGTGTATGTGAAGCTAACCTTATGTTTCTATGTTCTTAGTGGAATACAGGAAAGGAACCTTTCACAGGATATTCAAAGAGCAAGGGAGTTTCCACGTTTTCAAACCTCTTTCACGGATTTAGATTCTTTTTGCTTGGGCAAAGATCTAAGTCTGGGGGAGTTGATATACCTCTATTTTACATGCTTTTTATACTGTTTTAGCATTGTTTTCTAATGGTTTTTGGCAGGTTTTCTATCTAAAAAGGTTCGATACCCATACTTCCGCGATCTGTGCACTTGCAGAGGTCTAAGAGTTTGGTAAACCTGACTCACTATCAGTGAGTGATGATAGAATTTTCAGTGTGTGATGTGATGATATGATATGAAATATAAATGAGGTGGAATGCAACAGTGGTATATGAAGATGAGATGGTATGGTGCAAAACACAATCACAATCAATCAATTCCCCTTAACCATCATAGTCATTGAAGTATAAGGGGTATCAGTCCATAAGGGTGAAATTGTTACCCTATGAACTTATGTAAACACAAGAAAGTCAAGCCAAATGATTAAAAGGGGGAATGTAACGACTAAACAACCTAAGGAAATGAAATGCAATGCAATAAAGTAAAGGAAAGCAGTAAAGCAAGCAGCTCGACCAAGGACTCGATTGAGTGGGAACAGAGTAACCAAGCTCGGTCGAGTTGGGGGTCGAGTTAGAGTAAAAAGCGATAAAGGCAGGAACTTTAACAAGCTAATGCGAATATTAGGGTCTAAGACAGGGTCTTACAACTAGGGGAAGACTATACTTAATCAAGCTTTCTCTTCAAACAACTTGAATCAAGGTATCTCTTGATATTGAGCTTCTCAATGCCTAGCTAGCCCTTTCCCAAGGTGAAAGCTATCATCCAAGACATGATCTCAGAAACAGGGGGTTAGCCAGTGAGAGTCAAGCCTTGGAGGCAGTAGGATCATTGCTCAAACTAATCCATCCAACACCTATGAACTCCATTTCGAGAGCAAGGTTTATTGGAGCTCTTAGTGGACGTTTTCAAGCGATTTCCCATCACTAAACATCCCTAAACACCAACTCTCAACATGGCGAGACGCTTTACGTATGCAGAGAAAGGCAAAGAGCTCGCTGTATCACCCTCCCTGCCTCCACTCAAACGTATCAGAGCTCCTCCGGTTAACACGTCAGATCTAGAAAAGGAGAATGCTCTCACACTCATTGGATGTCTCACCAACCCAAGCGAACAGAGACTCTGGTCTATGATACCTTTCATCTCCAAGAAGTGGGAACTACGGGGAAAAGCCATAGGGTCTGACCTGGGGAACAACCGTTTCCAGTTCCGATTCGACTTTGAAGAAGATCTCAAAAAAGTGCTAGACAACAGACCTTATCAATATTCCAGATGGATGCTCATCCTCCAGAAATGGGAACAAAGCATCGCAGCAAGCTTCCCATCCTAGATTCCATTCTGGATCAAGCTCACCGGAATTTCCCTGCACACTGGAAAAAACGAACTGCTCGTCAGCATTAGAGAAGGAACAGGGAAATACCTCGACTATGAGCTCACCCACGCCGCTGCAAAAATCAATGTGGAGGTAAACGGTTTAAAACCTCTACTAAACGAAGCTATTGTTGAATTTGAGTGAGGCAAATAAGCTCTTGTCACCTTGGAATATATTAAAATCGGAAAGCACTGCTCCATCTGTGCGAGATTATCTCATGAAGGAGAGACTTGTCCTTTAAAACTATCTCGAACATCAACCAAAAAACGAGGCCCTCAGCTCAGAACAAACCAAACTACGTGAAACCCCAAAATCTACCTACATGGGAAACTAGGGCTGCAAACACATCTCTGAAAGAAGGTCTGAACCCTACACTCAGCGCCAAGACAGACATGGAAACTATTATGGAGAGCGCATCTGAAAGAAGACCTTAAACATCTCCAGTTCCCAAACCTACATCTGGTAGCGACCATAACCGAACCCCTGCAATCTCTCAGTTTTACCAAAGGGAAAGACCTAGATCCCCACAAAAATATCCCGGAAGCTCAAGACGTCTCCTCCCAGAGATTTCACTACCAAACCAACAAAGGCTATCAGAACAACCGACATACAGATCACCTCCAAATCAAGTTTGGAGAAGGAAAATACCACAAACACCACCCGTAAGAGAGGAAGGATCTGCAACCCACCATCCCTCAACCATCCCGGCAGAACCAGTGACGTCAAGAATCTCTAGCCTCCAGCACCCACCGGGACCATCACAAAGAATCCAATCAGCTGAGAAAATTATGCAGGACCTACAAGATGTTAGTATTCGGTACACTAACTGTGAGGATCCCATTGAAAGCGCAGCTAGAAGAAAAAGAGTTATTGAGAGTGACTCCATAAGTTTAATGGAGGAAACCCTTACCTTTATGCTGCGTAACTCACATCTTCAATCAACCAGGGCGGACAAAGAAACTCTCAAGTTCTACCTCCTGAAGAGACTGTAGTCGAAACCCAAAGAGAGAGCTAATCCTTGGTAAAACCAAAAAGAAGCGTGGACGACCACCAATAAACTCACTGCAGACGAAGAAGAATCAACTGAACGAAGCTGGCCCTAGTAAGAGGAAAACCAAACAACAAAGAGTTTCCCCTCTACTAAGACTAGGCATCTCTCCTCTGTCCAGAGCAATCTAAAACCGTCTATCTCCGGTCACACATAACCATGGCACCAGACGCAACAGCAGAGCAATACAACAGAGAGGGTCAGCATCGGCAAGAGGCACAAACCCAGAAGAATCAACAACTACACCGAGCATCCCAACCACCCAAGCAATCATTCCTCCTCAAACTAAGGATAGAGCGGATTTTCACAATCTGCGAAATCCTCTTTCTTAACAATCCTGAGCTGGAACTGTTATGGTTTGGGAAATCCCATAACTGTCCATAGACTGAAGGAGCTACAGAGGAACCATGCTCCGGATGTAATTTTCCTAATGGAAACAAAGAACACGGAAGAGTTTATCACAAAGCTCTTACCATTCCTTGATTATGAGTCTCGTTTCCTGGTTCTACCTCACACCCCTAGAGGAGGAGGATTAGCCCTATACTGGAAAAAAGAAGTTCATCTAACTGTCTTAAGTTCTGTAACAACTACATAGATATTTCAATAGTCTATAAAAAAAAGTACCTTTGTAGCTACTTTTGTGTATGGAGACCCTGATCATTCGAAGAGGAAAGTTATATGGAATGAGCTCACAAATCTCGCACTCTCACGTGATGAGCCTTGGTTTCTGACTGGCGATTTTAATGATATTGTGGAGAACAATGAAAAAACGGGTGGTCCTGCAAGATCAGAGGGTTCCTTTGGGGAATTCAGAGCCTTCATATCATAATGTGAGCTATTTGACATGTGACATTCCGGTAATAGCTTGTCATGGAGAGGACTTAGATATGCGCACCTGATTCACTGTCGCCTGGACAGAACCTTCTCAAACAGCCTATGGGCTGAGCGGTTCCCTTCAAGCAGATGCTACTACTTAGAATTCGAAGGCTCATACCATAGACCTCTGCTCTCAATCTTGGAACCAAATCTGAAAAAGAAAAAAAGGATCTTTTAGATACGACAGGAGCCTGCGAAATAACCCGTAAATCACTAAGCTGGTGGAAGAAACCTGGAATAACTACCCATCAGGATCGGTTGAAGGAAGAATAGCCAATGTTAGGAAAGTGATATCTCAATGGAATAGAGAACACCATATCAACAGTCAACTATCTATCAAACAAGAGAAAGAGAAGTTTGAGGAAGCAATGAGTGCACCGGCTCAAGACCAAAACAGAATTGATGCCATCAATAAAAACTTGAAAGCAGCTTACCAGAAGGAGGAGGCCTACTGGAAGCAAAGAAGCAGGACTTTGTGGTTGTCACTTCGAGACAAAAACTCGGGTTATTTCCATGCTATAACTAGAGGAAGAATGGCGATAAACAAGTTTTCAATCATCGAGAATAAATAAGGAGAATCTGTATTCGAAGAAGGAGAAATTGTTCAAGTTATCAATACCTACTTCCAGGATCTGTTCATCAACGATCATCAAGCTGCCGGGAAACAGTGTCCCAAGCTATTAACCCTTGTATCTCCCCTGAAACCAACGATGCATTGATAGCAGCCCCTACAACGGAAGAAATCAGACTTGCATTGTTCTTCATTCATCCGGATAAAGTTTCGGGACCAGATGGTTTCTCTGCAAGTTTTTTTTCCAAACAAACTGGTTAGTTGTTGGTAAAAAGATTTCAGACGAAATAAGAGAAATCTTCTTAACCAAAATTCTTCCAAGCTCCATCAACAGTACACATATCAGACTTATTCCCAAGATCCAAAGCCCTAATACGATAGCAGACTATAGGCCTATAGCACTATGTAATATCTTCTATAAGATCATCTTCAAAATCTTAACAAGACGCCTACAACCCCTACTTTCATCAATCATTTCAGAGACGCAAACTTATTTTGTTCCAGAAAGAGCCATTTCAGAAAATGTATTGATAACTCACGAAACATTGCATTACCTGAAAAGATCTGGAGCAACGAAGCACTGCTCCATGGCCGTGAAGACTGATATGAGCAAGGCATACGACAGATTGGAATGGGAATTCATTGCAGCGTTTCGGGAAAGAATGGGATTTCATGGCAAGTGGATCAATTGGATCTTCCAATGTATCTCAATTGTCTCCTACTCTTTTTTGGGTCAATGGAGCAGCTCATGGGTTGGTGATTCCCCAAAGAGGCATCAGACAAGGAGACCCGCTCTCCCCGTTTATCTTCATTCTCTGTGGTGAAGTCCTCTCAAGCTTATGCAAAAACGCTCAAGCAAATGGATCTCTAGCCGGTATTCGCGTGGCAAGAGGAAGTGTGATGTACTTGCATTTTACATAGTTTTAGCACATCTTTTATGCATCTTTTGCATAGTTTTAGCTTCCATTTGCATCATATCTTGTTCCTTTTCTCTTCTTATGCATTCATGTTAGTTTTAGGTTGCATTTGCATACATATGCATGTTTGGTCCTTTGAAATAGGTCTTTTGGAGCATTCTGGAGCATATGGGACATAAGGAGCATGGAGGGACTTGGCACATGGAAGCAGCTCAACTGGATACGCAAAGGAAGAAGGGAGAAGCCATCTTGAAGACCAGCTCGACCGTCTACTCGACCAACCGGTCGAGTTCCTCAACTCGACCGGCCAAGCTTCAACTCGATCGAGCTGAGAAGTCAAAGTCAAACCCGAAAAATGTTGCTTCCCCCTTGACTTTCCTTTGACCCTAAACCTAATCCTCTTGTATTTAAAGGCTCTAAGCCACGAAAAAACCACCAAGCTTTAGATTATTTTGTTTTAGTTTCTTTTAATTTATTGTCTTTTACTTTTTAGAGATCTAATCCCATCTTTGTGTTCTTGAAGCTCTTGCTTCTTGAATCCTAGATCCTGGATAATCTCTCTTTGTATTTGCACTTGCTTATTTCAATAAAAGTTGTTTAATTTCATCTCCTCTTTCTTATGATGTCTCTTTTATTGCATTTGCTTGTGTTTACATTCATGTGTAGTGAGTAGTTACCCATTAGGGTTTGAGATGGGATAGATTAGAGGTTTCATATGCTTAATCCTTCTAGCTTATGGTCTTAATCTAGATTCTCTCTCTTTTGGATAGATCTTAAGGCTACATGACCACTACCCCTGGCTTGTAAGTCCTTAGGCGACTCCCCACACGAAAGTGATGGCATTCGCTGGAAAAGATCCACTAAGAGCTCCAATATCTCTTGCTCTAGACAATAGAGGTCTAAGGGGTTGGATGGATTAGTTTGGGCAATGATCCTATAGCCTCCAAGGTTTGATTCTCACTGGCTAACCCCCTGTTTCTGAGATCATTCCTTGGTTGATAGCCTCCACCTTGGGAAAGGGTTGGCTAGGCATTGAGAAGCCCAATATCAAGAGAAGCCTTGATACAAGGAGTTTTAAGAGCTAGATTGATTAAGTGTAGATTCCTTTGATTGCAAAACCCTGTCTTGAACCCTAATTCTCTCTTATCTTGTTAAAGTCGTCACCTTTAGCTTTGTTTGTCTCAACTCGTCCCTAAACTCGATCGAGCTGGTACTTTGTTCTGACTCGACTCGAGTCTTGGTCGAGCTGCTACTTCACTGCTTTGTTTACTTTTATTGCATTTCATTTCATTTTTTAGGTTGTTAGTGTTACTTCAAATCTATTACTGCTTGCTTGACTTCTGGTTGTTTCATATTCTCATAGAGTGACAAGTTTCCCATTTTGGATTGATAACCTCTTATACTTCAATGACTATGATGGTTAAGAGGAATTGATTGATTGTGTTTTGCACCATACCACTCATCTTATTCACCCTGTTTGCATTCCACCTCATTTCATTTCATTCATCACACACAAAAAATCCTATCATCAATTTGGCGCCGTTGCCGATTTGGGAATATTTTTGTTGCATTTGAGTTTCAAACATACTTGGACGATCAAGCTATACCACCCCTGTTCTATTGTACTGCTGGGTTTTTGTCTCTTTTTGCAGGTGTATGCGAACTCGATCGAGTCGGTCACAGAAGACTTGGTCGAGCTAGACATTACAACGGGTAGAAAGAGGGTTCAGAGGTCACAGAGGGTACAAGAGGAACCTGAGGTGCTTGTTGCTGATACAATGGATGTACCAGAGGGGAATGGAAACCCTTTGGGAATGGACTCGGTCGAGCTAGGCAAACTCGACCGATTGGTCAAGGAGATGCTCCAAACCGCCACCAACAGAGACAAGGGATTGTTCCACCACCAGTGCAGAACCACAACTTTGAGATCAAGCTGGGAATGATCAACCTTGTCCAGAACAAGATGTTCCATGGATTGCCAAGTGAAGACCCCATTGACCACCTTGATGAGTTTGATAGGCTTTGTGATTTGACAAAGATCAATGGTGTCTCTGAAGATGCCATCAAGCTGAGACTCTTTCCTATGTCTCTAGCTGACAAAGCTCACCAATGGGAGAAGAGCTTGCCCCATGGCACAATCACCACTTGGGATGAATGCAAGAAGGCCTTTCTTGCTAAGTTTTTCTCCACCGGTCGCACAGCCAAGCTTAGAGGAGAGATATCCAGCTTCATCCAGCGAAACAATGAGACATTCGCAGAGGCTTGGGAGAGGTTCAAAGGGCTACACAAGTCAGTGCCCACACCATGGATTCAACAATGAATCTACTCTCCACTCTTTATAGAGGATGCTTGCCTAGGTATAGGGAGATGCTAGACACAGCTAGCAATGGGAACTTCCTCAACCAGGATGTAGATGATGGCTGGCAACTTGTGGAGAACATAGCTAACTCAAATGGAAGCTATGGAGAAGAGTATGATCGCACCAACCGGAGCTCGACCCACCACTCGATCGAGTCAGACGAAAAGTTGAGAAAAGATGTTAAGGCATTGAATGAGAAGTTGGATAAGCTGATCCTAGCTCAGTCCACAATGAAGAAAGTCAACTTTGTTCTGCTGAAGAGATGGAACCAGTCCAAGAAGGGAGGATACACAAGTTTGCTGAAGTGTGCTACATGAGCAATGGGACAAGGAGGTTATCAAAACGGTTACTATAACTACAAGTCCAACCCTGCCATGTCATACCGCAACACTGATGTTGCTAACCCTCAGGACCAAGTCTATCCTCCGCAACAACAGCTCGATCGAGTCAGGACTCCACAACAAGGGTATGGTCAAAAGAACAATTACCAAGGACCACAAGGCACTTTCCCTGGACAACAAATGAATATCCCACCAGGCTTCCCCCACCAACCGCCCCAGCCTGCACCTTCACAAGAGAATGAGCTCAAAGCAATGCTAAAGCAACTACTTCAAGGGCAAGCTGATGGGGTAGTGGACACAAGCAAGAAGCTAGCTGAAATAAACTCTAAGATCGAGAACCTCAACACAAGGGTTTACTCTCTGGAGAATCATGCTTCTTCTGTTGCTGCTGCTACAAAGCAAGGACAACTACCTGGTAAAGCTATTCAGAACCCCAAGGAACAGTGCAAGGTCATCTTCACTCAAGAAGGACTTGTTGAAGAAGAGGATCAAGAAAGGGTCATTGAAGATTTTTGTTTACTGCTGAATGATGAAGAGATTGTTGCTGCTGAGGCTCCTGGAGTCCAGATTGATCAACCAGAAGTGCATGCACCTACTGTGGCCATTCACACTTCACCAGTTGAGCTCGCACACAAGCTCGATCGGCAGCTCGATCGAGTCCAACTCTAGCTCACCAGCTCGATCGAGTCAGATGCTTTATGTTCCAACACCACCTGATGATGACACCTACAAGCCCCTGATCGCGGGATCAGGTCTTCCCCTTTCCTATCCCTGATTCTGCAAGTGCACAGGTCATAAGTAGTAAACGGGTATCGAACACGAGGACCAGATTGCACACTACAAACTATGAGTTTAAGAACAAGCTAGGGCAAAAGTATAAGTTGGTTGAGTGCAGAGAAAGTAAAGCATGCAAGTAATAAAGAAAGTGAGAATTCAATAGGAGAGAAGGCTAAGCAATAGGATAGTCTTGAGATAAGCAATTCAAGAAGAATGAAATCAATCAATTAGGGTTACCGCACTTAGGTGCTAATCTAGAACTTGAAACACTATGGTATGATAATTCCACTGTCGAGGCTCCGACCCCTTTGTTAATCTACCTAGTCGCTAAACTTTTGGTATGTCCCTAGGTGATTAAATCAAGCATTAGTTTGATCAAGATCAATTGTTCACAACCTACAAGTAGATCAACTTTCGCAGTCTAAAAGAGATTGTCCACCAAATACTAGTTCAGGCGAATGATACAGCACTGTCGAGGCTCAAATCAACCTAAAGGCATATGCTAATTGGCCAGATTAACAACAAGCATTAAGTATAAGCAAAGATGGAGATTATAAGTAAAACCCTAATTGTGATCAATCATCAAGCATTCATA